AGTTGCAAGAACATGACTCAGTTGTTAAACAGGAATCTTATTTCAATAGAATAAAACTTGAAATCAAGAAAAATTTAAAAATTAATAATGTTGAATATAAACAATATAATCTCAAACAATCAATGGGTCAAGTAAGGATTCACAAAGGAAATTTGAAAATATTAAGATAAACAGAAAGAAAGATAAGACATGCAGTGGACACTTACTGAGGTGTAGTGAAATCAGTAGTAAGAAGGAAATTTTATAGCTGTAATTACATTGAGAAACAAGAAAGTTCTCAAACCTGCAACTTTATGCCTTAAGAATCTAGAAAAAGAAAAAAAAATGAAACCCAACAAATGCAGCAAAGTAACATAGATTTGATCAGAAATAGGTAACAAAATCAATAGAGAAAAATCAGTGAAAACAAGTGTGGATTCTTTGAAAAATAATCAAAAGAGAGAAGACTGAAGTAACTAAAATCAGAAACAAAAATGTATTAAAATCAATTTTATAATAAGGAAAGGATTACAATACTCTGAACAGCTGTACACCTAATTGGACAACCTAGATGATTGTTTCTACATTCATACAAACACCAAACTATCAAGACTGAATAATTATGAAATAGGAAATCTGAAAAGACCAATAATTGGGAAGAAGAATGAATCAGTAGTAAAAAACCTACAAATAAAGAAAAGTTTGAGACCACATGGCATTACTTTAAATTCTACAAAACATATAAAGAATTAACACCAATCTGCCTCAGTTGTTCCAAATTTAGAAGACCAGGAACTATTTCCAAACATTTTGAGGCCAATATTACCCTGAAGTCATTTTTTTAAAATTACAGACCATTACCTCCCATGACACAAAAGACCTACACCAAAATAACAGAAAACAAAAATCTAATGACATAGTAAAGGGATCACACACCAAGACTAATTGCTATGTTAGTGCAGGAATGCAAGTGTAGTTCAACATAGAGAATTAGCTGGGCAACCCATTCGGAACCCTCCTTTCTCTCAGGAGCTATTCCTATTTTCCAGTCCGCCATTCCTATTCCCCATTCCTTTTCTCCAATAAATTTTCCTACTCTTAGCCTCTGTTGTTCTTAGAACTCATTCTTTGACTTTGGGGGACATGAACTCAGTGTATTTGACATCTAGTATTTCCCCTACATCATCTTGAAGGGTCCCACTGAGATACTTGGGAGGGGAGGCTGCCAAACTCCAAGTGATCATGCAGATGCAACCAATGACAAATGTGCCAGACTCCTTTTTGGGATTCACTGGATCGACCTTGTAAAAAGTTCATAACTGCTAAACTGCAACATGACTTCTAACCAATGCTCATTAGATTACCTCCTGGAGAAAGCTCCTGACTGACTCCTACAGTAAACCTTCTCAGCTCAAAGCAGTTAGGCAGAAACAATACCTCTTCTCTCTAACCACAGATAGAGAAACCTCTTCAGAGGGGGGAATATTATACATAGCTAAGTTAGACAGAAATATAGTAGTCAGTCAAATAAGGTTGGGCCCTTGAGGGAGTCAGTGCAGGAGATGAGAATGCATCAGGGCTGAGATTGGAGGTGCTTCTGAAGACTAAAGTCACAATGGTTAGTTTTACAAACTTCTTAATGGATGAATAGAGACTTGGGATTAGTGGTATTACCCTTTTGGGATTTCCCATTATCTCATTAGATGTGGGTCATTCTCTCCCACCTACTAAGACTAAAATCATTAACACTAAGACTATGACTACTGAAACTAAAGACAAGACTAAGACTATAGGCTATTGAACAAGATTAATGATGTCACCCATGTACTCTTGCTGAAATCAATATTACCTAATTGGTTATATTTGCAATCTTCTTGATCATAATTTTGAACCACATTGTACCCACCTCATGATTTTGCTCTATAAAACTTCCTTTGAGAGGTGGGCTTGTTGGCAAAGCATTCAGGACACCTCCTTTCTCTCAGGAGCTATTCCTATTTCCTATTCCCCCATTCCTACTCCTAACTCCTTTTCTCCAATAAATTTTCCCACACTTAAAAAAATTTAAAAAAGAAAATTAATCAATACAATACACCAAATCAATAAAATGAAGGGAAAAAGAAATACATGATCATTCATTTGATGCAGAAAATGCTTTCAAAAAATCTGACATACTTTCATAGTAAAAAAGAAAAAATTATCAGAAAATTCAAAGAGGACATTTATAAAGACTCAGCTAACATAACAGCAAAAAACTAAAGATTTTATCTGAAGGTCAGGTAAAAACAAGGCTGTCTGCTTTCAGCTCTCCAACATAGACAGAGCAATTAGACAACACAGAGAAGCAAAAGCCATCCAAATTCAAAAGGATCATCCATACAGGTGATCACACATACAGAAAAACTCAAAGATTATACACAGATATATTAGAGTTACCACACAAACTCAGAAAGGTTGCACAATGCAAGATCACTAGACAGATTTTAGTGGAATTTCTCTTCACTAACAAAGAATAATTTGAAAATCAATGTAAGAAAAAGATTAACAAAAATAAAAAAATAATTAAAAGCAATATGTATCAAGCATTTACAAGAATACTACACTAAGTAAGCACTATCAAACATTGCTAAAATAAACTAAAGAATATCTAAATAAAAACCGTTTTGTGTCACTGAGTAGGAATACTTAAAATTGTTAATAGGTCAATGCTTTCAAGTTGACCTATGATCAATATAATCCTTGTCAAAACCTCAAGGCCTCCTCTGCAAAAATACAGATACCTTCATTTTAAAATTTATGAAGAATTTTAAGGGGCCCTAAATAGCCACAGCACTGTTGACAAAGAAAGTTTGAGGACTCACAGTTTCCAGTTCAAAATTTACCAAAAAAATCCACCAAAAACTACATAAATGAAAACAGATGGCACTGTCATAAGGATAGACCTATAAATCAATAGAATAAAATTGAGAGAATAAAACCAAAGTCACACGCTTATGATCAGCTGATTTTTGACCAAAGTTCCAATACAATTCAATGGAAAAAAGTAGTCTTTTAACAAGTGGTCCTGGAGCAAATTTATTTTCATTATAGAAAAGGAAGTTGGATTATTTCATACTATTTATAAAAACTAACTATAAATGGGTCAATGACCTAAACAAAAGAACTAAACCAGTAAAAATCTTAAAAGCTTGAGAATAAATCTCTAAGACTGTTAGTTTGGCAATGGATTGTCAGATATGATACCAAAAGCACAACCAGCAGCAGAAAAAAATAGTTAAATGGGGATTTACAAAATTAAGAACTTCTATACAGTTAAGGACATTATTGAGGAAAAGACAATCTTTTTTAAACAATGAGAGAAAATATTTATGAATCACACATGACAAAGATTGAATACCCAGGATACATAAAGAGCTACTACAGTATTGTCTGTACTGTTCTTTTGCTATTTTGTAAAAGGTTGTCTGTTAATGTTTTCCTCCTTTTATTTTTAAAATAAAAAAAGAACTACTATAGCTCAGAAACAAAAAAAGACAATCCAGTGGGCAAAGGACTTGAATAGATGCCTCCAAAGAAGATATACAAATAACCAATAAGTGCATGACAAGAGAAGATATTAAACATATTTAGGAAAAGACAAAAGTAATATAATTTCATTTAACTTTATTACATAGATTAGGCAATTTCCCCTCCATGGTTATGCCAGAATGGCCTGTACTTTAACAACATAATATGATTCTTCTGAGGATATTATCTATAGATTAGCACACATGCTAAAATGGACCTTAAGGTACGAATCCATACCTACGTTGGCAAATTCAAATGACCTGGAAGTGTTTTAAAAGAAAATAAAGATCACTGTTTTAACAACAACAACAACAGATTAGTCAATTTCATAGAGACAGAGAACAGATTGGAAATGGGAGTCAGTGATGCTCAGATTCGGGGGGGTGATAAAAAAAAGTTGTGAAAGTAGTTGTAGCTATGATTGCATAACATTGTGAATGTAGTTAATTAATGCCACAGAACTGCACACTTAAAATGATAAAAGAGTAACTTTTATGTTTGGTATGTTTTACCACAATTAAAGTTTTTTTAAAGAAATCAGTTGCTTAAATTGAGCTCAACTCCTTGTTAAAATTTGTGATAAATTCTGAATAAAAGAAATCATCCTGGCCATAGTAAGGAATATTTACTTCTGGCAAATAATCATCATACACGAAAAAACAGAGGTATCCTCATTTCAAAGCATAAAAATAAACTGCTATACCTTTATAATGACTGTTTGGTTTTATTTTGAAAGTTTAGACCAGTGAAATAAAATATCAGTTGGCTATTAAAATTAAGACATATTGCAAAGGAAAATGCAATTTGTCTTTTTTAAAAAACATTACACAGGGCTAGGGATTTAGCTTAGTGGGGCAACACCTGCCTGGTAAGCTTGGGGTCCTGAGTTTGATTCCTGGTACCAAAAAAACCCCCCACACATTACACAGCAAAGACTTAAAAAAACACCTTGCAAAAATATTATCCATACCAGAAATAATTTTTCTGTATATATTCAGATGATTTTTGACACAATATTGTGTTAAAAATTATAGTGCCAATTACTACTCTTTGGTTAAGACAAAGCAACTAATTCCCTGTTACCCAGATCTTAATTGAAATAAGACTTTCTCAGTAATGGAATTGTAACTCATCAAATTATTTATTTATTTCTAGTGCTGGGGATTGAACCCAGGGCCTTAAGCACTAAGTTCTCGGCCCCTTTTTAATTTTTTTGATGCAGCATCTTGCTAAGTTGCATAGGCTGGGCTCAAACATGAGCTCTTTCTGTCTCAGCTTCCCAAAGTGCTTCCCAGTGTGTGCCACTGAGCCTGGCTCATCCTAATTTTTATAGCATTGTCAGTACGTTTGTATACTATGTGATGATTGTGTAGAAGTTACTTGGGTATTTAATCATGTTAAGCTTTCACCTACTTATTTCACATTTCATGTTACACAACAGAAAATCTCTTTACCTTGAAACTTTTCTGCTGTTGGGTAAGTTTCATTTTCAGTCTTCCTTTGTAATTTCTCTTTTGATGCATCAGCCTTGATAACAAAAGGTGTAATAAGAGATTATAAGTCTCAGACATATTCACTTTTTTAGAGAAAAAGATAGATTCTTACTCTCATATAAAATCTCTTTGCAGAAACATTTTATTTTCATTATTTCCTGAATTTTTCAAATAGAAAAGTGGGAATAATGAACGGATTTGACAGAAATTTGGGAAAACTGATTAGTAATATCAAGAGAGCTAAGAAATATTGTGATTCTTCTTCACACTAGTGCCAGATAAACTGAGTTAAAAATTATTGATTACAATTCTTGTTTAGATTTATATTTTGGTCTACTTCAATTTTTAGGCAAAATCCAATGCTTACAAAGTTTTCTTATAGGGACATTTTAATAACTTGAATGATAAAAATATATTGTATATGCATGTCAAGTATACTTCAATCATTTTATTTTTGCCCTTAGAATTTCATAAATAAGCACTTTTCTAACAAAAGCAATTCTTACAATTTTCTACATCTACCTTAAAGGTATATATGAAACTATTTCAAAATTATTATGCCTTTAAAATCACCTTATTGTATAAAAGTCACTTTGTAGATGAACCTGAAATAAAAACTATGAAAATTTATCCTCTCAGGCATTACATACCTTTTCATTTTTCATTAGAACTATAATATAAATGTCAAAATTTTATCAATATTAGAATCTAATTTAAAATATTACTTAGATATCCAAATAGTGTTTTCTATATCCATCTGTAAAAATCAGTTGTGTTAAAAGCAAACTTTGCTCTCCTTGAAATAAGATAAAACTGATATTTTTAGTTAGTGTTTACTCAAGATACTGAGTCTAGTGATTTAAAATAGCTTCCAACCCATTATATTATACCACACCTTTGAGTTATCCTCAGTAAGCACAGGAAGTGAAATCAACGATGCAGCTGATTTTTTCCTCTGAGGCAATGTTCCAGCAGAGAGGGAATCTTGACTTTCTTTGCTCAATGATACTGTTGTTAATGACTTATCATGGGTGTCTGATGGAGATATCTGGAATAGGCTTTTATCAACTGAAATTTCATTTGAACTTGCTAAAGCTGATTTATCTTGAGATTTGAGGGTCTGTGAAAGATCTGAAATAGCAGGGCTATATCTTTTCTTCTCTGAGCTTTAGAATTACAAAACATCTAGCATTAGATTATATGAAGAACATTTACAATTGAAAAATCATTTTCATAAAATAAGGATATTAAGCAATTATAATTATTCATCATTTAACAGTAATACCATATGAAGTTGATATTAGACAATAAGTTGAAGATAGTAAGGCATCATCTGTGATTTATAATAGATATATAGATATAACACACTTAAAATACTTTAAGTCCTTAACCGCCACAGAATGAGAAAGACTTGGTCAGCCAAAGTACAACACAGGATGGCTTGAAGGTTTACATTTATTGTAAAATTTAGTTACATTTTTTGTAAAGTTATTTTCTCAGTTTCATTTCATAATGAACATAAAAATTTTTCCATACAATTTTTGACATTAAAAGGTCACTGTCTTTTAACAAATCCACTCCCAAATTCTGACTTAGTTTTCTTCAAGGTAAAAGATGCCACCAGTTGGCACAGGATTAGTTTTCTGGGTGCAGACCCAGAGCAACCATATATGTCACAGTGTGCCTGCACAGTCTCAGCTGATGCCTGTCCCATCACTCTTGCTTATTAGATGGTCATTTAAACAAACTGTCTATGCTCATAAAAAATTAACAAAGCATATCTAATCATATCAACTATAAGAGTTTGATGGTTCTTAATCAGTTGATGCTCCAGTTAATATAACTGGCTTTAAGATTTATTGCAAAGCTTCAAAATAATTTGAATTTTGCTCTCATAGAAACAAAACCATTAAATGTAACTGGTGTCCTCTGTTCTACATTTATTAGTTTAAGATGAGTGTCAAACAACGGAGTTTGTATTATAAAAAAGGGGAGTGGAGTGTGGAAGATATCCCTAAGGATGAAAGTGCAAGGTGGTTGGTAGCTAAAAAAAATAATTGAAGACAAGAAAACTTTTGCGTTGTTCTTATAAAGAAGATTCCAATAGTAAAGGGAATAGGTAGTTTTCTGTCCTATTTTTTGTTTATTTTAAAAATAAAAGGAGAAAAAAATTAACAGACAGACAACCTTTTACAAAATAGCAAAAGAATAGTACAGACAATACGGAGTTACAAACAAAGTGGTAGGGAATTAACAATGCTTGATGTACTACATATTGATATCTTCAAAGTGGTTTCTCATGAAAACAGATAGAGACATACAATATTGATCAATCAAGGACTTACTGTCCTATCCTAAATTGTTAAAGGATAGCATTTCAAAACATGCTTCATTGGTTTTAGCAGGTATTTGGATTTAACACGTTTGATTATCAAGTATAACACTCATTGCAGGGACCACTTTTGAAGACAAATCCTGTAGGATTATCGCTATCACTGAGCCAGTAAAGCATAAAACTTATTCAAGTACACAATATAAATCAATTCTTATTCACAAGCCTATCTTAAGGCACAGGCTAACACTCTTGCCACTAATACTACCACATAGTAAGTGCAAACAAAATATTTTAAAAGGTTTTGAAATGGTTGATTGGGGACATCATTAATCAGTTGCTTCTATACACTTAAATGATCTAATCATAGCAACAGAGAAAATGTGCAGCAACCCCAACGATAATGCCATAAATACCAATAGAGCTCACTTATAACTATATTTCCACTTTCATGCATTTCTTACTTTTATTATTACCTGCTGTCACAATGAACCACTGAATAATAACCACAATATGGCTGAAGGTCAGGAGTGAAAATATTTGAAAGGATGCAAACAGCATTGAATTCAAGCTTGTTTCAGCCAAAGCAGTATCTTTAAGAAGTGGAGACAGGCATACCTTTAAATCCACACTGATTATGGTATCTGAACAGTGAAGGAGGAGGATGGGAAGCAGGAAAACCATGGAAGATTTTACTCACACAAAAAATAATAATGATAACAATAAAGGTAGTGATATGCTCCCTCTCAGTTCTTAGTAGATTGTCAAAAACAACCTAGGTATAGCTCATGAAAATTGTGTCAATCCCTATCTACTTAAAGATTCTTTGTAGTCATCACTACCTATTAAAATATGGAAGTAGATTTTGTAGAGATAGGAAGGATACCTGGAGAGGGCAGGGGATAGTGGGAGGAAAAATGATCAAGATGTGAGATGTATATGTACCTGTTCCACAAAATAATTGAAAACCACAATAGTATAAATACGAGCATGAATTTTAACAGGTTTCATACAAGCACACTGGCAGCATCTTTCACACTACCATTTAACATCACTGAGGGGTATGCAGATGAAACCTCTGTTTGCAAAAACAGCATTAATTTTGAAGGTCTGAGCATTATACCTTTTCTTACAAAGCAAACAGATGTACAAGGGCACAGTCTGCAATGCATACCACCATAAACATGCTATGGTCACACAGTCCCTCAATACACGTCATCTGTGCAAAACAGAAAGCTGCTTTGGATAACTTCCCCAATTTTTTTTCTTCTTCTTCTGTCCAAGACCTTCTCTCTCAGAAACTTTCCTTAACTACATCCATTTTCCAAACTGTCAACTCAGTTACCAACCCATACCCTCCCCCTTGAGGAAAAAAACTCTCCGACAAGTATTGAGGTATACAGTAAACTTTTAATTATCAATGAAAATATAGGAAAGGGAATTTAATATTGTCCCCCACAGTAACACAACATAGGGAATACATCCATATATACAAGACAAAGCAAAAAGATCTAGGATTCAAACTGCAACCTAAAAAATTCTAAATCTTAGCCAATGTAATAGGCTTTTGTTCTGCATCCTCGCCTTACCCACTTGGGTAACTATTGAGAACTCGGGCATGTGTAAAGAGCTAATGTGCAGAGACTTTAATTAACGAGACTTCCAGACCAAAAGGAAGATAGAAAAGAGACAAATCTGTTCATGGATAGCTTTGGTGACTCTCTCCCTTTGTCCTTTGGGTGATGTGGTAGCCTTGACTCAACAGGATTGTAAGGGGAAAAGCAGCTCTCCCTAATACCAGCTATGATGGTATGGTCATTTCCTACCCTTTTTCAAACAAGGTCATTGATGTAAGCGGGAAGTTTCCATTTTTACATGATTAACTGAGTAATTGTCTCTTCCTCTATTTCCCTATACTTTTAAGCATATGTGAGGAAGGGGTCCCACACAGAAACACTTTCCACGGTGAACCTAGTTGTATTCAGTCCAAGTATACCTCTCTATGGAATAATGGTAACTTGGGAGATATTATATATACTCTCTATTGCTTCTATATTCAGATTCTATGGAATCTACCTTATGCCTACAGTGTGGGTCACAAGTAACATGCCATATGTAAAGGCAACACAGGAAAAACAGTTAACTGAAGAAATTATGAAATCACATCTAGAGCTCCTAACAATAACTTTTCATCTGTAGAATTTATTCTAATGAAACTGGAAATACAGTATATCAAAATACTTTCAGTTTTATTTCATGATTAGGCAACCCCTTTTGATAGGCAATTCCTTGACTACTCAACCTAAATTTTCCTTCCCTGTTTCTTCATTAGAGATTTTATTATTTCAGTTATGACTGTCTAATTTTATCTTGTTCACTTGTTTTGGTTTGTTGCCCATCTCACCTATTAAAATGCAAGCACAAGAAAAGGGGTCTTATATTTCTTAGCTATCAGTAGAACCTAATAACTAGAAGAGTACTTGGCATATTAAGGTGACACAAACATTTGCTGAATGAATGAGTCTGGTGAATAAATGAATGGAGAAGTTTAACAGCTAGCTATCTAGTCTACGGAGAAAAGAGGTGCATCAATTAATACTCTTCCTTTTCTGCGTATTTTGTACTTTACAGTAAACCTAAGTGGTATGTGGAGGGGGGCAAAAGTCCAAATAAAAAGATTTAAAAAGTAGGTTCATGGTGTGAGTCTCAAAAGTAAAACATAGAAATAGTTTACATTTCCATTCTTAAAGGTGTGAATTTCAATGCTATAAAACATTTAAGAAAATTTAACAACATATATGATGTGAAACAGTAAATTATTAAAACCTATTGTTTGATTAGATAGTTGCCAATAACCCATTCCCTAACACAAATAAAAGATGCTGCAAAGCGCAAAACTTGTACTTTATTGTAACCAATACCAGGTGTCTGCTCAGGTGGGGTCTCCTTACTTCGCTCCCATCCACTCTCTGAAGGTTGGGATACTTTTCCAAAGTATTTCAGAAATTCTATTAGGATCTAAGAAGTAACCCAAAATGAAGGATAGTGAATAATATTGTGCTATGTGCTTAATAGTTTGAATTTTATTATATTTAATAATATTTAACCTAAAGCTGTTATGGGTAATTCTATAAAAACTAGCATGCTGAAACAACCTATTTTATTATTTTCATTATTGTCCTTAGTCTAGACTCCAAAGAAAATTAATTACTGACCTTTCCCTAAGCACATTCTATAGATTCTGCATGCCCTCATCTTTGCCTCAAAGCAAATTTCTGTCCACTTGGAAAATGTTTTCCTCATACTTCCCTATAAAATTTAAGCCAATTCCTTCTTATAGTAAATGCTCTGTACTTTTCAGCCTAGCCAGAAATGTGTCCTCCTTTTTGATGTAGCTTCTTGGTAACTTCTTACAGAATATACCTTCTGTACCATATCCTTACTTATTTTGTACATGTCTTGTCTAGTTTACTAGACTGTTAATGTATGAAGGGAAATGACCGTGTTTGTTAAACTTTTATGCCCTGTAAAACCTATCTGTGCATAGCATGACAGCCAATGTTCCCTCGTAAAGTTAGTGAACATTTCTAAGGCAAAAAAAAAAAAAAAAAAAAAAAATCAATTTAAGAGGAATTATTTAACATTCTGTTTTTACCCCAATCTTGATGTCATATATTCCCTATCATCCTCAGTCTGTTTCTCCCCACTGAATGCTTCTTCTATTTACTACTTTCCATTGTGATCTATTAGCAAAGTAGAATTCAGGCTGGTAGGGAAGGGACACCTCACAGTAATGTTTTCACAACCTTCCTTAAATATTTTCCCAAAGACCTGTGGGAGATACCTGAGACTACTTTGTTATGTTTTTGTTTGAGGCTAAGGATTCTCTTTAAAATACTTAAACTAATGTTTCTATTTTCTGAGATGGAACAAGTATATAGTCTATCAAATGCGTCAGCAGCAATTACATAAATGCTCAATATTAAAACAATATTTGAAAAGGTATTAGCTCCTGTTCTGCAGGGAGATAAATTACAGACTTTTTGACATTTTTCACTGCCTTCACTTCTCCATGTTTCCACAGAAAACTACAGAGATACGCCATGCTCTACAATAATCTGAGCTTAAATGTAAAGAAGTATCATGCTTTATTTCTATTTGCATGCAGTCAAAAGATGGTTAAGTTTCCACAAAAGTTGAAGCCAGTAAGTAATACTTTTATTTATAACTGCTCAAATTTTCATAGGGCTGACCACCCATAATTTATCAAGGAATAAATTATAAGAAGCCTACCATAAGTTTAAACAACAAAAAGTAAATTAAACCAATATGTAATATTCTCTTAATATATTAAAATATATATACTAGTAAAAGTATTGATGAAAATTACAAGGGGAAATTAGAATAAGAAGTAAGGACATTGAACCTTAGAAAATATCAAACTTCTAGACCTGACTGGAATCATCTATTCAAATTTTATATGACATGAAAATAATATTCTATCATAAATGTTTAATTACAAGTATTAAAAATGAAACTTTTCAAAATTTCTGGCCATTAATCATTATACTTATTACCCAATGCTAATTCATCTGGGTGTGTAATCGGGAAATATTAAAAATGGTAATGAAGCACACAACTGCAGACTTCTGGGTATTTTTTTTTTGTCTTTTCTGAATGGTAATCGGAATCAAAATTTCATGTATTAGGCTCTGAACAGTTAAGGAGTCTCATGTCTGTTTAATGTGAATTCTCACTAATGTATGTCAATGACCAAAAGGAAACACTGACACAGTTTCATCAAGTGACTGAGGAAAACAAAAGACAAAATATGATTTAAGGGAGTTGCTCACACAACTGTGATCAAGGTCATGCATCTTGATAACCAACTTTAAAATAAAAGTCAGCTCCTTAATCTATGAAAATTTAATTTCTCAAACAATAAACAAAATGTTTGCATGTGTACATTGGCCCTTGTTCTTCAATTTATCATTGAAAATTTTTGAGTTTTTGGAATTATATCCAAAGTTTTCAGTCTTACACATATAAAGTTTCATGCATTTTCTATTAAAAATCAGTTCCTTAGAGAAGACTATAATAACATAAGCAAATATATAAGTCAAGGAGTTTTGTATTTAGATTGGCTACTTTTATAGTTTAGAAATGAACTGATAAAATTAAAAAAAGACTATATCTGTAAAAAGTGATTTACCTTTCTTCAATTGGTCTTTGACTTTGGACAGCTGAGGTCTGTGATAAAGATAATATTAAATTTAAATATACCAAACGTGCATATCAATGCTTATATTGTCATTTAGAAAAATATCATTTAAAATAGTTTTCTTAATATGATTACTGTATAAAACTAAAGTGTCAAAAAAGCTAAGGAATTATCATATTTCACCACTGAAGAGACATTATACAATAACAGGCCCCAAAATTATACTTTATGTTTCTAAATTAAGAGTAAAGAAAAAAAAAAAAAAAAAAAAAAAAAAAAAAAAAAAAAGAGTAAAGGTTTCTATACTTTAGTAAACAATAATTATTGTTAACATCTACTATTTATCCAATCCTCTAAAAATACACATTTTGAAGAGCTCATAGTGGTAGTACACACAATACTAATATGGTAGTGCTTTCTGGTAACTTATAAATTTATTAAAAAGCATATTGAGAATGCATATTCAAAATGTTTATTGAGGTTTACGATAAAAATGTATGATTTCATTACAAGCTTATTTGTTGTGAAAATAACAGATACTTTCCTACAGTGTAAGTGCTAATTCTAGGTTTTACTCCAAGGCTGAATGTCAGCTCATTTGGTTTCTTTTATACAGAGATCAGCTGGCTTTATCCTTTCCCATCTGAGGCAAAGACTTGGATAGTCACCAAATTCGCTTACTTTTCTTCTATGTCTTGTTGCTAGTGTACGTTGCTAGGTGCCCCCTGCAGTTGAATGTAGCAGTGGAAGCACATATGGATTCCTGACCCACAAACACTGTGAGAGAAACATGTTGTGCAAGCCATCTAATCCTGGGGCAACTCATTCTACAGCAACAGATTAAGTGAAATAGTATTTTTTGTTTCTCACTCATTTTTTTTTTTTTTTAACCAGATGGAGTTTAGGAAGGGAGGAAGATGGGAGGAAGCTTGGAGGAAGAAGGGAGGATGGAGAAACACATATCAAGCAAAGAGAACAAAATACACAGCATCCTGAAAGTGACAGAAACAGTGTATTCCAGGAACTTCAATGAGCGCATTGAGGCTAAAGTGCCAATTATGTGCTAGTGTGCCTGGCATCACGAAAACATGTGCCCTGGGAGGAGGGGCTAAAGATCAGGTTTAGATTTCAAGGAAGGATCAACTCTGACAAATCCTGAGTGAGGTTTAAGAAAGTCTAAATCAACTTCACAAGAGAAATAAAGTTAAATATTTTGTAGAGTTTTCTCTCCAGTTTTGTATTTTAGTGCAGTGACTCCTTAGTTGTGGAACTCAATTTGTTCTGAATTCATGTTCGAACATCAAAAAGCTAGAGAACTGAACATATTTTTCCCATGAGAAATAATGGAAAACTGAATAATTGGTTCTGAAGCCCCCAAATCACACTTAAAAATTCATTTTTCCAAGACTTTAACACATTTCACAATGATTTCTTTAACTCTAAAGTAGTTCTTACATTTTTCCTCTTAGCTTTATTGCTGGTATCACTAACTTGCTTTGGAGCCATGGGTTATGATATTTTATGAAAATGAAGTGCAAAAAAGAGGCATAATGAAGAATGCTTTTACACACTAACACAAGCACTACATGTCTGCTTTAGACTCAGCGACACCCTTTGTGGCTGCAGCAAGATGCAAGCGTGACTCACTCTGGGCCCCTACAGGTTTTTTTCAAGTCAGATTTTCAGTTTGACTATGGAATACAGTTATGAACAAGAAGCAGAGTTTTTTTGACGTTTTCTGTTCAAGTAGCAGAAAATTTGAGCTTGGAGCCATGTGACAACTTAAGTATCACTGTAATTTACAGAAGAATGGTCTTTGAAGCTATTTTCTTCTGGTTCTCAAATCTCATATGCTTAATTCCAAATAAATATGTAGTTAATTGATAACTCTGTACTCAAGATGATAATCAACAGATACATCCAGAAAGTAAAGGGCAGAAGTCCAAACAGAAAGAGTAATACATACAAGTAAAGTATGAAATAATATGAAAGATGCTTTTATTATAGCACATAGCACTCTAGTTATTTCCTTACCTGTGGATATTCTTGAACTTTATCATTTGTCTTTTGTCCATGTGAATTTATTTTACTGGTAGCTTTTATTTTATCCATGCCCATTTCCACTATTCTGTTGTTCTGATCCCTTTTATTAAATTCTGCCCCTTGGCTTAGGGCATCATTAAGCTGACGCTTAGTTCTTTCAGCTTCCTGTTTTTAAGAAAGTACAGTTTGTCAAGTATTGTTTCCTGTGACATTTTCCTACAAGCACCTTCACGATGTGCATATTTTTATACCCACATTATTTCTCAACTTCTATTTACTAGTTAGAAGAAGCTAAGTTAAGCCATTAATATAGCCAATAGGCGAAAGCTTCCAAATTAAAATTAAAGGCTGTTGAAAACCTCTTCCAGTTTTGAGGGGTAGTTTTAATATCTCCACGTTTGTCCAAGTTGGTACTTTTTAAGGTTCTAATTATTATATAGGCAGAACAAAAACTGATAAAAGCTACAAATTATTAGAAATGGTAGACTATAACTAAGACAATATCCTTTAACATCCATCAAAGAATGAAAGAAAAGGTAAAAATTATTTCTTCTAAAATGAAAATTTTCTTTAAAATGTCTTAATTTTATTATCAAAAATATGCACATTAATAAAAAGAAAATTCATAGTCACCCCCCATAGAAAAGAACACTGTTAACATTATGGTGTATAATCTTTTTGTCTACTTCAAAATATAGCTAGAACATATATATCTATACACTTTAAATTTTTATCTATAATGAATCATGATATTCGGACTCATATTTCTATGACAATAAATAAATGTCAAAATGTACATGACTATATTTAGTAATATATCATAACTGACAACAAATTTCTTATCAGTGGTCATTTTGATCATCTGAAAAATTTATAATGAAAAATGTTACATTGTACACAGTAGTGTAATATTTCTACACACTTTTTATTCTTAGGTGAACTTTTAAAAGACAGAGAGCTATTGAGTGAAATTGTTATCTTTCCAAGGCTTTTGCTATGTATTCCTCCAGAAAATTATCAATTCATAGTGATTAATAGAAGCATGTAAAAGATTGCTCATTTTAACTTATATCAACAAATATTAGATAATTCTGTTCCCTAAAATTTTACAGAGGGTAAATTTTAAAAATCTCACTACCGATTTAAATTGCATTTATTTGATAATTAGTGAGATTAAATATACTGTTTTTGTATACTTTTATTGGCCATGTATGTTTCTGAATCATGACTTGCCTATTTGCATTACAGGGGAGGGCTGTACATATTTCTTGTAGGTATATGAAACATCTTTATGTAAATTATTTTATAAGCACTGTCTACTTTTGTGGTTCTGTGGACTGAACTCAGGACCTTTACACTAAGCTATATCCCTAGCCTTTACTTTTTATTTGAGACAGGGTCTCTTTAAGTCACTAAGATGTCCAAGCTGGGCTCAAATTTGTGATCCCCCTGCCTCAGCTTCCCAGAGTGTTGGAATAACAACACTGCCATGCATGGCTTCATATATATATATATATATATATATATATATATATATATCTCCATAAAAGGTTTACATTTATGCAGAATAAAATTCATTAACATACTCATTTTGGGTCTGAAGTTTAAAAAGCCTTGCTATAGTCAAGAACATTTAGCTGTTACTCAGTGTTTATTCTAAAATCCTCACAATTCATTCTTGAATTTTGGATGTCAAATCAATCTGCACCATATTTTGGTACTTCGTGAAAGAAAAACTTATTCTTTTCCAGATGTTTACTTTGTGTAGTTATTTTATTCTTCCATGAAAACTTTTAATACCTAAAATTATATAAAACAATAAATTTATGAAATTTATTTGAATTTGTTTTTCAACTTTCCATTTGGTACATGAACCTCAGTGTAATTGTTGTACAATTTATTCTTATTTTATTTTACTCTTTTTCTTTTTGAGACAGGGTTTCACTCTGCAGTTCAGGTTGGCCTTGAACTCACTTTGTAGCCCCAGCTAGCTTTAAACTCAGTGATCCTCCTGCCTCAGCCTTCTGAGTGCTGGGATTACAGGTGTGTACCATCACACCTGGATGTACTATCAAATTTATTATTGTATAATCACTATATATTGACTTTTGGATGAATAAGTCTTTCTTAATTATTCTTTTGTACAATTTCTTTGTTCTTATATAATAATTTATTATATGCCATTTATATCAAAAACTAAATTTCTTTAAGTTTGTATATCTTTGAAACACTGATACTGAATTTTCAAAGTCCATTTCTTCATTTCCATTTCTTTATTGTTCAACTATAACCCATGGTAATGTACAGTATTTTTCTCCATATAAAGCTTCCCTTCTTTTTTTTTGGTAAAAATGCTATACTAACATCATATTAAAGTAGTATTCTGGATAAATTATTGTGTATTTTGCTTTCCAAACAACATGAATCAATATTTTTAAGTGGTTCTTCTGGATAAAAAGAAAATCTATTGCTTTTTAAAATTTTAGTGTACTTTAAAAGCTATTTTGTCCCCATGTTTTATTATTTTACTACTAATACCTTTAAAAAGTATCTTAATACAAATTGAATACAAATAATTATGCTTTTTTCCTATTCATTTAAGAAAATGTAGCTTTTTATTCCTTTTCTATTTACCTAAAATTTGAAAAAGTGGTAGAAGTCAACACCTTCATTTAACTTAGTTTCTAATTCTTGCAGTCTTTTACTTTTGAATATGTTGTCTATCAGTTTGGAATCAATTGCTCTGATTAAAAAGTGTACTTTTTAATTATTTTTTGATAAGAGTAAATATTACATTGTATTTATATATTGGTGTTACATAAGTGAATATATTTAAACCTCTCACAGTAATAAAATATATAGGCTTATTAGTTTGTAAGATCAAATTACTCATTTAAAATATACTTTTGTAGGTACAGCATTTTCCTTATTTGTAACAATTTTATAGAAACATGACATTCTTCACCAGTAATGCCTGCTTAAGTTGTTCCTGAAGTGCTTTGTTCTCAATTTTCAGATCATCTGCTACTTTCTAGGAGAAATAAAGATAAAAAGATATTACTCTGGGCAGTTTATTAATTTATTTTTACAAATTTTACTTTTCAATAACTTATAAATACCCAAGATGATTATTTGAACACACACATCTAACTTCTTTGAGATAAACAGAAACTTTGAGATCTGTAAAGTCTCTAAATATTGGACCTTCGAAAATATCAAACTTTTAGACCTGCCTGGAACCATCTACTCAAATCTTATATGACATGAAAATAATATTTTATCATAAATGTTTAATTACCTGTGGTCTCTTTAGAGAGTAGCCTACCCTGTGTTCTACCAAAGTTTTATAGAATTGAAATACAGTAATGTAACAAAACTAGATTTAATCAAATTTTATACATCGGAAAGAAGAATGAGAATATATTCTCCACTGTGGTGGACTACTACAAATAGTCATAAATTCTTTACAATAGCTCTCATGAAAAAAGAAAAGGTGGATTCTCTTCCCTCACTCCTTGCAACTGAGATGGCTTGTCACTCTGGCAAATAGGGTACAATGCAAATGGCCCTATGTGAGATCTCAGCATAGGCTTCAAAGCATCTTTTGGCTTTGTTTTATTCTCTCACTCTTGGAAACTCTTCTATACGCCACTGAGGTTAGCCCCCTGGAAGGCAAGAGACTAGAAAGAGGTCTCATCTGTCCTGATTATCTCAGCAGGAACCTCAGACTTACGAGTGAAACTATCTAAGATCATGCAACCTACAGCAAATTGGCAACAGAAATAACCTATCCTGCCACTACAAGAAATGATGGCTCTGCTAGTTTAAGTCACTAAGTTTTCAGTAATTTGTTATTTCGGAAAAATCGAACTGGTTTACCTAGTAATAAAACATTTATATTATTTTATGCTACTAGGGTATTTACTAAAATTGAATGTTGTTTTATATGATTCCGTAAACAGCCGTCAACAATTCCTTCCACCCTTATGTGTATGCTAGTTAAATATGGACTTCCTTATAGAATGTTTTTTTGGTTTTTCTGGTTTTTCTCCGGTACCGGGAACTGAACTCATGACCTTGCACTTGCCAGGCAGGCGCTTTTGCCACTGAGCTAAATCCCCAGCCCTCTTATAGAATGTGATGAAAAAACTTCAAGACCTTCCAGTTCCAACTGTAGGAAACCTTTGTCATTTTCTTTTTCCTTTTGTGTTCTTGGGATAACTAACAAATGATGGGTTATCAGCCACGTGAGAGAAACTATCCCAGCTCAATGCAGGCACAGAAAAGATTTTCAGTCAACACAACGGTAAGCAAAGCCACTGTCTAGCTGATCTCAGAAAACCCATGAATTGTGAGATAATAAACCATTATTGTTTTAATACACTTAATTTTACTACATTTGAGGATAATTTGAAATTAAGCAATAAAAATTCCTGGAAGTGGAGTGATACAACAAAAGAACCTAAAACTTGTGGTAATGGCTTTGGGTTCCACAGGAGAGCAGAAGCTGGAAGGGTGATAAAGACAGTAGGATTGGAAACTACAGAGAGAGTAAAGACGCTGTGTCTACACACTGAAAGAATGTTAAACACCCTGTTAGTGAACTCTATAAAAGGAAGAAGCCTAGAAAATTAATACTGGAGACTGGTGACTGGGAAGGTACTGTGATATATACAACAATTAACCCTTAGGCTTAGCAAAATTGTGGATCAGGCTAATGAAATTTCCAGATAAAATGGTAATAGTACTATGGTTTATATTAGTGATCTATAACAAGATTATTAAAGAGAAATGAGGTAGTCCATGGGGCATCATGCCAATTTTCTCATAAAGGTGCATTATGATGGTTGTATAATACCCATGTTTATTCTTTAGAGTATTTCTATTGATGAGGTATTAATTTTAATTTTATGAGTTTTATTATATTAAAAACAGAGTGCTTAAAAGGGAAAGTATAAAAAATAAAGTATTGAATTAGTAATACTTATTGAGTGTTTATAAGCAAGCATTAAAATTTTCAAAGTCAATTGTTTTTTGGTGTATGATATCTAAAAACTAACAACAAAAGTAAATTCCTATATGAATTAGAATGAAAACACCAATGGAATGCTACAAAAATAATCTGTACTTCAGTTATCACAGTGAAGGCAGTCTTCACATGTGACAAAAGTATGTTCCATACACACATATGGTATCACTTACAATGCCAGCAAATATGTTTTGCTTTCCCGGCCATTTTATAAGACATACTTGACATCTTGATGGTCTTGCTGTTTTGTTGGGAGGTTGTCATATTATGCAATGTGTATAATATAACATAAAATAGCAATAAAATAAAGTATTAAATTCTTAATATGTATCGCATATTTAAAATAAACATCAACATTTTTACATCAACTGTATACTTGCTTATAAAACTTAAACGGTTACATCAGAAATAAATTCCTGTCTGAACTACTGTTGTGGGAAAAACTGAATCGACAGTAGCCAGGAGCTCAAAAGAAAGGAAACTTTATGGATGCTAGCAGACCCCAGAGCAGTAATCCCCAAAGTCTGAGGTGAGGTTTACAGAGAGTTTGTTTTTTTTATAAGTTAATAAACAGAAGTTACAAGAATGAGATAAGATCTGTTGAAGGCCATGGTACAATGGGTATCTTGTGGTGAGCACAGTGATGAGCATAGTTGTATATGTAGCAAGTTGTTTTTAGCATATTCACAAAAGTTTCAATTTGATGGCAAATCATATAATTTAGGTGAGTTTAGTGGCAGAGAACAGAATGACTGTAGTTTTATTTAACAAATGTCTGCAGTTAGGTCAGGATTTCTGCTTCAATGAAAGAAAAATACCAATAGAACTCTACAACAAAAATAATCTTTGCTTCAACTGTTACACTCAAGGCAGTCTTCACACATGGCAACTGCATGTTCTGTAAACATGTCTAACTTGCACTGACAGCACATGTGCTTACAATGGCCTATATGGAAGGCCATTCTTCTCACCTCTTTTCTTCTTGAGATAGCAAGAGCTTTCTACTATACTGTACAATGTGCTTAGCAGGAGAATAACATATCAATAAATAAAGTACCAAACATGTAATGAGTGCTTAGAATAGACATCAAAATTTTCAAATCAGCTGTTTACTTGCTTATAAAACTTAAAACATAAGAAATAAAAACATATGCAAATTTCAATGTAAATACGAACAAAAATATGCCACAGAAGTAATCTTTGCTTCCACTGTCACACCCAAGGCAGCCTTCACACATGAAAGCTGCATGTTCCATACACAAGTATTGCTTACACTGACAGCACATATATTTTGTTTTCCTGTCCTTTTCTTTTTTAATTTTAAAGAGAATAATAAAAAAGAGCTATAGAAAAAAATATCAACAATGTAGACAAAAACAAAACAAAGCAAAATAAAAATGATACAGGCTTTCAGAACAAAATGATAGGAATTAACAGTGGTTGTTATATTATACATTGCTATCTTCAATGAAGTTGCTCAGATTACCAGATGTAAGAATGCAAAATTGGTCAGAAAAAAACAGAAACAAAAACAAATTTAAAAAATTAACCATTAACTGTTCCTTTAATAAACCATTGGACATCAGCAGTACAGTTATCCTAGCTATCCATACACACACACATATATATATATATATATATATATATATATTTCCCCTTCCTTCTTTCTTTCTTTTTCTCCTTTCTCTCATCCCAGTTATTCCTTCCTTTGAGAAATTTCTTTCTCTTCCACAATATCTATTGCATGTTTGGGTTTTATTCTTTCCGATTCTTACAGTAGGGAGACAATACAATGTTTACACCTGTGGTTCTGATTTATTTCACTTGAGTATGGTCTCTAGTTGCATCCATTTACCTATGAAAGCCTCAAGTTTATCTTTTTCATAGCTGAATAATACTCCATTGTATAAAAATAACACATCTTTTTTATGCATTCCTCAGTGGATGGGCATTTGGGTTGTTTCTAAGACTTGGCTATGACAAATTGTGCTACTATAAACATGGGTGCAAATATATTGCTGTGGCATGATGTTTTTAATTCTTCTGGGAAAATACCCAAAAGGGGAATAGCTGGGTTAAGTGGGACTTCTAATCCTAGTTTTCTGAGGAATCTCTACACTGATTTCCACAGTGGTTTCACCAATCTACACTCCCACAAGCAGTGGAGAAGGGTTCCTTTTGCCCCACAGAAAGCATATGTTAAACATAATTTGGAGGAGTGGGATAGCCTTCTAATAACAGATCTCCAGGTCAAAAGGAGCTTTTCCAAGAAACTCCATGCATATCTGGGGTTTGTACAGATGATAACATTTTGGACTTCAAGCCAACTGGAGAGTATGATGAGAGTTTAGATGATTAATTGAGTATGTTTTTCACGTGGAAGAAACAGTAGCATGAAATCCAACGGGATACGTTACGAGTTCTCCTTAATCTTAGGGTAGGGAGAGCACCTTGATCAGCATCCAGTTTGCTCCTGGAAGTGGTTCCCTAATCCATTGTTTAAAGTAGCCCTTTATTTTGCAGGAGAGTATGTTGGTTCAAAACTCTAAGGAACTATTTCCAAAAATGACCATCTATAATTTGTACCATTTCCATGTGCTCTTGCCACTCTACCCATCAATACGTAAAATCTGTTAACTGGCTGCCTGAGTATGACCTGCCATATCATTTGATTTAACCAATAAAATGGGGTGGAAATAAAGGCTGCTGAGGCCTTAAGAGATATTTCAAGGCTCACTTTAAATCTGTTGGGTTCCAGCCCCAATGTAAGAATGAATGGGTTTTACTATTAATAATGAATGACCCCAGGAGAAAGTTCTGAGCATTTCCAGTTACCTCTAGACCTATGGAGAAGCCACATTGAACACTCTGCTACTAAACAAAGACATGGACCATGGAGGCCTCAGTCACAGCAGGGAGAAAGCAGGAGTTTCTGTTTTCCAACTGGCCTACAAGGCATGGCAAGCACAGCTGCAAAAGGACGCTGGCCTCAATTTATAATTTGTGGTCCTCGACAGCACAAAATCAGGCCAATCAAAGTCAGGAGAAATAATCATTAATGTATTAAACCTCTAATTTTGAGTGGTTTGTTATAGAACAGTAGAAAACACATAAAAATGTACTTGATCAAAAAGAAAACCTTTTAAAACTTTCATAAAGTAGACAATGTTAACTATATAAAAATGTGACAATTCAAAGGTGAACTAAAAACTTTTCTTGTGGGGGAATGATTAGGGGTTAAATCCAGGGCCTTACACTGAGCTATATCCCTAGTCCTATTTATTTACTTTAATGTTCACAAAGTCACTCCTAAGATAACACAGCTTAAAATTCTTTAAAAATTTGAAAAACCTTTAGAAATTGATATATTTGTATCACAGAGAAAAGGCCACACAGATCCATCAGTTATCTCAAAAGGGATTGGGAAAATGGTCAAAGAGCTAGCATTTAAAAACAAAAACACTCCTATATGATTTTACAGATAAATTCTATGTAGTTTTCAAAGTATTTTTCCTTTTTAAAAAAGTTTTTTTTTTTTTTTTAGTTTTGGCTGAAAATACCTAATATTTATTATGTTAAATTTAAGGAATCAAAATTTTGATAAAATTAAATCTGCCAAATTTAACAACAGTACATTTACATTACATGAACACAATTCTACCTTAATAATTTCATGTAAATTGGGCTGGGAGTGTAGCACACTGGAGGAGCACTTGCCTAGTATATGTTAGACCCTGGTATTGATTCACAGTACCATAAAAAAAAAACAATGTTCATATAATATATAAATAGCTAATTTGATTATTACACAAACTATTCAAGAGTTGCCAGTTTTTCCCTCAACTGAAAAAAATCAAACCTCTACTCCAAAATTCATCTTTCATGCAGCTGACAAAAGGCTCTCAATAAAAGAGTGTCAAGTGGGTAATTCTTAAAACCCCATTCCTACTCAGTAAAACTGCTATGATATCCATGCACTACTTACTTCATGTCTGTCTTTTTTTTAATTTTAAAAATAAAAGAACAAAAACATATTAAGAAGCACACAGACAAACAAAACAACACAAAAATAATAAAAGCAATACAGAATTTCAAACAAGGTGACAGGAAGTTAACAATGGTTGTTGTATCGCATGTTGTTATCTTCAAATTAGTTATTCAGTTAAACAAATATAGGCATGCAAGATTGATCAATTAATACAATTAAGTATTAACTTTTCCTTTCCATAAAGCAATAGAAATTAGTAGTATAATTATCTCAGCTATCTTGGATACACATACATACATATTTTTCCTTTCTTTCTTTTTTTTCATGTCTGTCTTTTCACAGACTGCTACCCCCACATAGAAATTCCTGGTTTCTAGCAATATTCTTAGTTACTACATCATAGTTTCTCTTCTACATGTGCATTTATTGTTTTGAAATTAGCTGGAGACAGTTTGTCTCCACTATGTGCTCTTATATTTCAGTTTCAAACTTCTTTAATAGTTTTAAATTCATATAAAGAAAATCAATATAACTATCAATTCTATATTCCTATATTACAGTATATTACATACTATGGGAAGACATTTATTCAACTTATTCAAGCATATGTAGAATATAATTACAGTTATCGTTACTATTTGCATTACAGACTTCATTATCTGGAAGTCAACAGCGAATAATTTAAACAGAAAAACAAAGAGTTCTTAGTACTGCTCATAGAATAAAACAAGGAAGAGTCCTGTCATTTTTGAAAAGAGAGAATGCTGGAAAAGAAAGGTCAACTAAGGATATCATATTCAAGTGTAGGATTTTTGTTATTTTTTCCCCTCACAGAAAGGGTCCCTGGACTATCTAGTCCAACCAGAGTCAACCTGATAACTCTGTATACCTGGTCAATTACTTCCTATCTTTCTTTAAATATGAAAAAATAGCAATCATAATTAAGGTATAAAAATGTTACACAGGATTTACCCATGGAATACTAAAATATGTATCAATACTTGCATTTTCTAGAATTTTGTGTTATGAAATATTATTATCTTTTTTATCTCCATATGATAAAGTTGTACATCACCCAGTTGTAGATGCTTGCCTAGAGTAAGTACATTTTATTTTTATAACAAATAATCTGAAAATTAAAAGTTAACAGGTTAACAAAATATATGATTCCACCTAAGCATAGCTTCTGTTAAATGCAACTAGGGCTACTGATGAATAGTCCATACAGTCTTTCACAATTAAGAAAAAGAATTCTTCCAGTAGACTCGCCTCTATGCTAGGGTACAGAACTGACAAGTAAAGCATGGGCTAGGTTTCAGCATTCACTTTTTCCCTTTGTCCTGTACCCTTTTTCACAGCACAGCCAAAAATCCTGATGGACTTTTACTTACATTATTTTAAATATATATTAGAAGAATGATCTGAACAATGATTCTCCATCCAAAGGGAACTAATAATTCATTTAAAAATTGAAGTTTTGGATGAGCTACTAAAGCATTTTAAAGTAGATATATTGAGATACAAACTGATTCTCCTCATGGTCCTGTGGGGAAACAAAACAAGTTTCCACCATTACAGCACACACTGGGCAGAAGTCAAATAGCCATGTTTGCAGTTTAGATTTAACCACTAATTTGTCCTTTAATCCTAAATCAGTCACATGTTATCTTCTACTGACTTCTATAAAATAGCCTAGATTGGCATGGTTCCTACTGCAGTGTTAGAGGAGGTACATAAATTCCTTCAAATTTCCATTAAATTCATAAACATTCGCTCCAGAAAAATTATACCTACACAGAAAATTCTGGTTTTAAATTTAGAAAAAATAATCTTAAAGGACATTAGAGAGTTCTAATATTAATAATATAATACAATATTAAAAAAATGTGGGATGCTTTTAGTATGTTTCCCAGGCTGGCCTCAAAGTTCTGAGCTAAAATGATCCTCCTCATGTTGGCACCCTTAGTAGCTAGGATGAAGCAATGTGTCACCTCACTTGGCTAATTTCCTTTTCAATGTAAAAAATAGTTTCAATTAAAATATGCTGGTAATTAATTCTGACAGGCAGAATTGTAATAGGGCCTCATGATCTTAACTCTTGGGGATGTGTTCTAGCTAATCCCCTCTGAGTGTGCATAGGTCCTTGGCTTGCTTCTAGAGCCCTCTCTGTGAACAAGTTGCCCTATGACCATTTTCATTGCAACAGCTGTGCATTCAGATATTATTGCAGTGTTAGCACTTTATGATAAAAAAATGAGTTTGGAGTTGCAGTCTGGGCACTTGGTCCCTACAAGGTTCGCCATTACTGACGTAAAATAATGATGGAATGCTACCCCCTTTATCGGGTTGCACTGTATAGTACTGAGATGGGATGCTATTTCCATGATCCACTTAAAATATATGATTTTTGTGTCAGCAGATCACATACTCTTAAAAAAGAAGCATACTGCTATGGGGTAACCTGGTTATGGAAAGGACCTTCAGACATCAAACTGCACAGTGCCAACTGCAAACAGCTGAAGTCTGTTATATCCACTTACCTTGGAAGGGGGCCCCCAAGTCACAGACTAAAATAGAGCCCAGTCAACAGTCTGATGGAAGCCTGGTGGGATCCCAAACAGGTCATGCTCAGATTCCCCATAAGTTAAGTTGTTTCAGCTGCTATGTTTGAATTATTATTAAAAAATAAATGTTATAAAGTTGCATATTTTATAGTAAGTATCTCAACTGGTACTCTTTATTTTCCTAAAACTTATGAAATCGAGTTCTTGTATCATTCAGATGTATGCAGTCCTTAACTACAGTCACTCACTGAAATGGAGGGTATGAAAAGTCTTGGGTGTTTGGAAGGTGATTGGGTTACAGGGGGTAGTCTACTCATCAGTAGATTCACACATTGGTGAGTTCAGTAGCTAAATGTGCTGTCAGAAAGTGGGGCCTGGTTAGAGGTGTGTTATTGAGGGCATGATGTGAAAGGAGGAATTTTTGTTCCTGGGCTCTGCCCCCACCTCTGCTTCCTGACCACCATCATGTAACTTTCCCCGACCATGCCTTTCCTCCATGCTCTTTCTGTCTTGCTGCTGACCAACCATACACTGAACCCACTGAAACTGTGAGCCAAAATAAAATTCTCTTTTTAAAATTACAGGTGTTGGGTATTTTGCCTCAGGGGCAGGAAAACTGACTAGTACAGATTTTATGGTAGCTATTAAGAAACAAGCAAACAGTATACCAAATGCAAAAAAAATGAGCTATTCATATTCCTTTTGGATCACATAAAAGACAGTGGCTATTTAATAGGAAATTTCTGAAGCATATTTTTCCTATCTGCTTTTTATAACCCCTACTTTTTTGAGACAGAGTAACTATTTGACTATTTTGGGGATAGAAAATATGAAGCTCAAACAGTTAAAAGGGACTTATTGAAAGTCAAATAACTATTAAGTCCCTATTAGGACTCCTGAAATGATGTTCTCTTCTTCATGTATTTAAATAACCATAGTAACTTTTAAAACCCTGATATTATTTAAATATGCCTGCATCTACCATTTTATTTTCAAAAACTAGCTAAGAAAAATCAATCAGAAAGAAGGAACGACCTTAGAACTTTAGTACACATACACAAACACACAGACATACATGTCTATGTCACATATGTACTAATGTTGTCTATATGTATAATTATCTCAGCAATTACTAATCAGACATAGACTCATAAAGGGTATGTGTTACCTGGACTTGAAGCAAATCTTCTTTCATTTTAAGCTGTTGGGCTACAGTCGTCTTCCTGCAATTAAAATGATTTAAAATATATCATCATAGAAATACATCATTGCTCTTTGCTTTACTAAGGAGTAATTTAAACTACTTGAAATGGAAGGTATTTTTTGAAAAAAATTTTGTTTTTATTAGTACATGTTTGCAGTACATAATGATTACATTGCTTGTGGGGAGTTGGCATACATACATAACACATCTTAATTTTTTTTTTTCTGGGGCTGGGGATTTAGCTCAGTGGCACAGTGCCTGTCTGGCAAGCGCAAGGTCATGAGTTTGATTTCTGGTACCGGAAAAAAAAACAACAACAACAAAAATTTTTTTCTCCTCTCCCCCTTCATTTCCTGTACATTCCTCTAACACTTGGTTCCTCTCCCTTGGTCCCACCCTCCCACTGTCAAAAGATCTAGCTCTCTATTTCCTATTGTCTATCTTTTATTTTGTTCTTTATTTACATTCTGGGTTTCTCATATTAGAGACACCATGAGATATTTAAGCTTGCATGTCTAATTTACTTCACTTAACATTACAATCTCAAGGTGCATTCATTTCTCAACATATGACTCAACTTTATCCTTCTTTATGACACAACAGTACTGTATTATGCATAAATGCTAAATTTTCTTTATCCACTCATCAGTTTTTTTATTTTAAAGATAAAAGAACGAAAACATCTTAACAAACACATATACATTTACAAAATAACAAAACCATTACAAGCAATACAGAATCTCAGACAAGGTGATAGGAAATTAACAATGCTTGTTGTATTACATATTGATATCTTCAATTTGGATACTCAGATAAACAAATATAGACATGTAAGATTGATCATACACTTAAACATTAACTCCTCCTTTCAATAGAGCAATAAAAGTCAGTAGTATAACTATGTTAGCTATTTTTCCCCTTCTTTCTTTTCTCTTTTCCCTCATCCTAGTTGCTCTTTACTTTTGAGCATTTTCCTTTCGTTTCACAAAGTCTATCGAACCTTCTAGATTTTATTCACTCTTTCAGGTTGTTACACTAGTGAGACAATACGGTGTTTACACATGCAAGGCTGATTTATTTCACTTATGAGTATGGTCTTTAGTTGTGTCCACTTTCCTATAAAAGACTTGAGATTATCTTTCTTTATAGCTACTATTCCATTATATAAAAATACGACAACTTTTTTATCCATTCCTCAGTGGATGGGTATTTGGGTTGCTTCCACAATTTAGCTATTACAAATTGCACTGCTATAAACATGGGTGCACTTATATCACTGTGATGAGATGTTTTCAGTTCTTCTGGAAAAATATCCAGAAGGGGAATAGCTGGGTTGAATGGGACCTCTAGACCTAGTTTGCTGAGGAATCTCCAAACTGATTTCCACAGAGGTCGTACCAGTCTACACTCCCACCAGCAATGGAGAAGGGTTCATTTTTCTCCACAGCCTCACCAGCATTTGTTATTGGTTGATTTCTTAATGCTAGCCATTCTTACTGTGGTGAGATGGAATCTCAGTGTTGTCTTAATTTGCATTACACGAATGACTAATGATGTTGAACATTTTCTCATGTCTTTTAAAATTTTATTTCCTATTTGTTTTTCTTTATCTGAGAAGTGTGCATTCATCTCAGATGACCAGTTTTGGATTGGGTCTTTGAATTTTCAGGGGCTGATGTTTTTAATTCTTTATATATTCTAGATAGAAGTCCTTTGTCTGAGGAACAGTCAGCTAAATTTTTTTCCCAATTTGTAGGTTTTCTTTTTACTCTGCTGATGATTGCTTTAGATGTGCAAAAACCTCTCAGTAAGATGAGATCCCAGTTATTGATTCTTTGAAGTATTTCCCATGTGGTTTAGTTTTTGTTCATGAACCCTCTGCCTACCCTTATGTCTTCACGATTTTTATCTATTTTCTCTTCCAATAGATTTAGTGTTTCTGTTTTAATATTGAGATCTGTGACCTATTTTGACTTGAGTTTGGTGCATGGTGATAGGCTTGGGTCTATTTTCAGTCTTTGGCAAGTGGCAAGCCAGTTTTGCCAGCACCATTTATTGAAGAGATTATCTTTCTTCCATTGAACTTGTAGAAACTTGAAACCACTGTTACACTTAGTGAGTCCACAGCAGATACAAATAAAAAAAGAGAGGAGCTTAAGAAAATGATGGAAGTCATGAGTGTCCAACATAGGAAAGAAATGCAATGCATAAGACAGATTCAAGCACATATCCAGGAGAATAAAAATTCCACTGAAAATATCGGCAGCAGAATGAGACAATGTGAGGATGGATTCTCAGATATAAAAGGCAGCACTACGGTTAGTGATCATGAAAAGAAAGATTTCTTAAAAATACCAAGGGACCATGAAAAATCAATCCAGCAGCTGGTAAATGATGCTAAGAAGAATAATTTAATATTGATTGGAGTGAATAAAAAAGCAGGAGATAGCACAAATGATATAAAAAAAAACTGTTAACAGATATCATGGCAGAAAATTTCTCTGGTAGGGAAAAAGAATTTGACATACAGATAAGTCAGCCATATAACCATGATAAAAAAAAAAAAAAACCCTACTACATCCAGGCATATCATAGTCAAGATTCCAGAAATTCAACACAAGACTAGCATATTAAAGGCTGTTGGGGAAAAGAAACAAATCACCTATAAAGGAAAGCCCATCAGAATCACAGGTGGCTTCTCAGTACAAGCCTGTGAATCAAGGAGAGCTTGGAGTGAAGCATTTCAACCTCTAAAGAAAAACAACCTCCCACCCAGATAGATGTACCCCAGAAAACTATCTTTCAAAACTGATGAAGAAATGTGATACTTCCATGACAAAGAACACCTGAGGAAACTTAGGACCACTAATCCAGCACTCTAAAATATTTCCAAGGACATTCTAGAAAGAGATAACAAAGATTACAACTCCATGAATCCCTCACAAACAAGGCTAACAATTAAATAGAGGTGGGGAGAAAATGGGAGAAGCCAACAACAGGAAAATAATATGACAAGGGTAAAACAATACATATTAGTTATAATCATCAAAGTTAATGGCCTTAGTTCGCCAATCAAAAGACGAACTGGCAGAATGAATCAAGAAGCAAGATCCAACAATATGCTGCATACAAGAAACACATTTAATTCAAAAAGAAATTCATGGACTGAAAGTAGGAGGTGTGAAACAATACACCACGTGACAGGAACCCACAAAAAAATCAGGAGTAGCTATTCTATTTGCAGACAAAGTGAATTTCAAACCAAGACTGATTAGGAGAGACAAAGTAGACAAAATGGTCTCATGATATGTATGGGATAATTTCAGTTCCTTTGCATTTACTTAAACATGTTGTACGAGCTAATATGTGGTCTATGTTGAAGAATGTCCTGTGTGCAACTAAGAAGAATGCATATTCTGATGTTGTTGGGTGGAACACTCTGTAGACATCTACTAAGTCCATTTGTTCAAAAGTTTGGTTTAGTTGTAATATTTCATTGTTATTGTTGTTTTTTTGTCTAATTTATCTGTCTTGTTGTGACAGTGGAGTATTGAGATCCCCAGTACAATTGTATTAGTATTTGTTTTATCTTTTATGTCTGTTTTTATCTTTTAGTATTTGTTTTATATGGTTTGGTTCACTTGTATTCCATATATATTTATGATTGTTATCTCTTCTTCTTGGGTTGCTCCTGTTAGAAGGATGTAGTGATGTAGTATTAAATAATACTCCCCTGAACAACCAATGGGACAGAGATGAAAGAAGAGTTTCTACAATTAAGTGATAATTGACAGTGCAACATATGGGAACTTATGGAAAACAATGAAAACAGTCCTAAGAGGGAAATTTATAGCTGTGAATACCCATATTAGGAAAACAGAGCAAGCAGAAACAAATAACTTAATGTTGAACTTCAAAGTTCTAGAAAAAGAAGAGCAGGACAACCCCAAAACCCATGCAAGGGAGAAAATTATAAAGATCAGAGGCGAAATTAATGCATTGGAAAAAAAACAACACAAAGAATCAATGAATTGAAGAATTGGTTCTTTGAAAGATTAAATAAAAATCAATAAAACCTTAGCCAATCTTATCAAAAAAGGGAGAGAAAAGACTCAAATCCATACAGGAATGAAAAGGGTGAAATCACAACAGATCCTGCAGAAATCTCAACGTTCATCTACTCATACTTTGAGAACTTGTATTCCAATAAGATGTAAAATACAGAAGAAATGGACAGATTCCTAGATACATATGAATTACCAAAGCTGAATCAAGAAGTTATAAAAATCCTAAATGAATCAATATCAACCAATGAAATCAAAGATGTAATTAAAAACCTACCAACAAAAAAAAGCCCAGGCACCGATGGATTCACTGCTGAATTACACAAGAAATTTAGAGAAGATTTAATGTCACTAATTCAAAATCTTTATTAAATTAAAAGGGAAGCAATACTCTAAAATTCATTCCTGGAAGCAAGCATTATCCTGATACCAAAACCAGAGAAAGACCCAACTAAGAAAGAGAACTATAGGCCAATATCCCTAATGAACATAGATGCAAAAATTTTCAGTAAGATACTGGCAAACAGAATGCAACAAATCATCAAGAAAATTATACACCATGACCAAGCTGGATTCATCTGAGGGATGCAGGCATGGTTCAACATATGTAAATCAATAAATGTAATACACCATGTTAACAAAGCCAAAGAAAAAAAGCCATATGATCATCTAAACAGATGCAGAAAAAGCTTTTGACAAAGTCCAGCACCCATTCATGATAAAAATCTTACAGAAAATTGGAATAGATCCTCTTGTCTCAATTTGATAAAAGCCATCTATGACAAACCAACAGTTAGCATCATACTAAACGGTGAAAAACTGAAAACTTTCACTCTAAAATCAGGAACAAGACAAAGATGTCCACTGTCTCCACTCTTATTTAACACAGTTCTGGAAATCTTAGAGCAATTAGACAAGAGAAAGAAATAAAAGAAATAACAATAGGAAAGGAAGAAATTAAATTATCATTATTTGTAGATGACATGACACTTTATATAGAAGACCCCAAAACTCCACCAAAAGACTGCTAGATTTAATAAGTTCAGCAGAGTACTGAGTACAAAGTCAGCAAAAATCAATTGCCTTCCTGTCCATGAATAAAAATCCCACTGAGAGAGAAATTAGGGAAATAACACCTTTCACAATACATCCAAAAAAATGAAATACCTAGGAATCAATCTAATGAAGGATATGAAAGACCTCCACATTGAAAACTACAGTACTCTGAAAAAACAGCTCAAAAAGGATATCAGAAAATGGAAAGATATCCCTTGCTCTTGGGTAGGAAGGACCAACATAGTGAAAATGGCCATACTTCCAAAGCTGTTATACAGATTTAATGCGATTATGATCAAAATTCTGACAGAATATCTCATAGAATTAAAGAAAACAATCCTAAAATTCATTTGGAGCCAGAAGAGACCTAGAAAAGCAAAGACAATTCTGGTCAACAAAGGAAGGCAGGGGCATCACAATCCCTGACTTGAAATTATACTGTTCTGCTACTGTGATAAAAACAACATGGTACTGCTAAGAAAACAGACCCAAGGATCAATGGAACAGATTAGAAGATGCAGAAACAACTCCAGATATACTTCGCCACCTTATCTTTGACAAAGGTGCCAAACACATTCACTAGAAGAAAGACAGCCTCTTTAAAAAACGGTGCTGGAAAAACTGGCTCTGAACATGCCAAAGATTGAAAATGGACTCATAGCTTTCACCATGCACTAAATTAAATTCAAAATGGATCAAACATCTAAATATTAAAACAGAAATCTTAAATCTATTATTTTACCTTCTGGAAGATAGAACAGGTAAAACTCTTGAAGACACTGGTGTAGGTAATGACTCTATGAATGAAACTCCTGTTACACTGCAACTATCACAAAGGATCAATAACTGGGATTTCATCCAGTTTTCTTTTGCACAGCAAGGGAAACCACTAACAGGGCACAGACAACCCACAATGTGGGAAAAAATGTTGACCAGCTGTTCCTCAGACAAACGATTACTATTGAGAATATATAAAGAACTAAAAAAAATCAGACTTTCCAAATTTAAAGACTCAATCCAAAAATAGGCATCTAAGATGAATACACACTTCTTAGATGAAGAAATACAAACACATAAATACATGAAAAAATGTTCAACATCACTGGTCATTTGAGGGATGCAAATTAAAACAACAATGAGATTCTATCTCACCCTAGAAAGAATGGCTATTACCAAGAAATCAACCAACAACAAATGCTGGAGGGGCTGTGGGGAAAAACAAACACTTGCACTGTTGGTGGGAATGTAGACTGGTGGCAACCACTGTGGAAATCAGCGTGAATATTCCTCAAAAAACTAGGACTGGAGGTCCCATTTGACTTAGCTATTCACTTTCTGGGTATCTTCCCAGAATAAATGAAAACATCACATCACAGCAATATATGTGCACCCATTTTTATAGCAGCACAATTTGTAATAGCTAAATCTTGGAAACAACCCAAATGCACATCAAATGAAGAATGGATAAAAAAGATGAGGTCATTTATACAATAGAGTACTACTGAGCCATGAAGAAGCATAAACTTGAGACTTGCATAGGTAAATGGATGCAACTTGACACCACATTCATAATTGAAATAAACCAGACTCACAAGTGTAAACATCATATTGTCTCCCTAATGAAAGAGTCTGAAAAAGTAAGTAACATCCAAAATATACAAAAGATATTGTAAAATGGGAAGAAACTTCAAAAGGAAAGAGAAACTGGGGTGGGGGAAAATAGAAGAAGGAAGGGAAAACAACAAAAAATATATATATAAGATAGTTACAATAGTTACACTACTAATCTCTCTTAGTTCATTGAAAACAAAGATTTGTGCTAATATTGTTTGGACAATTAACTGTCTATATCTTGTACTCTGAGTAACTAATTTAAAAATAACAATATGCAATGTATTGACCATTGTTATTCTATTATCTTGTTTTAAAAATTTGTTTAATCTTTGTCTCTTTAAAATAAAATTTAGGGGCTGGGGATCTAGCTCAGCAGCACAAGTGCCTGCTTGGCAAGTGCAAGGTCTTGAGTTCGATTCTTAGCACAAAGAAAAATAAAACTAAAAAAATAAAATGAAATCTGAAATAAAAAATAAAAACACATGCTGTTAATTTAATGTTTTTAAAAGCATGTAAGTTATGTTTATATGATCTTAAATTGTTTGGATATAATAGGGATAAAACTAATGAAGAAGAAAAATGTTAACATGAATATCTTACTGTTCAGAATCCTCCAATTTTTCTTTGTCTTTTTTCTTCTCAGTTTTAACCGTTTTCTTTGTTTGATCATGTGTTGGCTTTGTTTTCTGTGTACTTTTCTATAAATCATAAAAACATGAGAATTACTAAGATCTCCATTTTAATGAGTCACTATACTATGTTTCAAGACAGAGTATCTGAATAGAACCAAAACAAAATAAAGATACAGCTAAAATGTTTGCAGAAGGGCTTTATTGAATATAAATTGAAATTAAGTTAACATACATTGAAATAATTAAATCCCTCCAATAACTGTACCAGTTCTGCTATAACATGTCATATGCCCTCCTGAAAATCCCCTATATGCACAGACACATACAACAAAACCTGCATGACATTTGGCGAAAATGGGTTTGGAGTACACCATAAAAAATCACCAAAAATGCACATTACAAAGTAAAAATAGTAATACTACAGAGTTTTACACAGTTAAATGATTTAGAATATGGAAAACAGCCTTTTTTCTGTGATGAGATCTGAAACTTGCTTGTAGAAGTAAGCACTGAGTCATTTACAAGGCTGCATTTGTGCACAGTGTGCACTGAAAGAAGGTTATCTTAACTTGAATAAGAAGTTCCAATGTCAGACGTGGGGTGGTGTGGGACACTTTATACCCGGTGAGTCAGGGTAGCTGGCAGAGGCTATTTCTGCCTTCATATACATAATAACACATCATTTTAGATAGAAAGGAGAGAAAAAAACCTATAAATTACATTATTGAAAGTTGTACGTAAGCTCAATAATAGAGATTGGTTAAGACACTGGGTGGCTATTTACTGTTATGGGAAAGATCTGCAATGGACACCAACTTTACTGCAGTAGCAAACTCATCACAAGGTAAACAAAAAAAGGGAAGAATTTTTTCATATATTCTGGGAAATAGGTACTGTATAATAAAGAACTTTAATGAGAATTTTACAACCGAAAATAATCTACTTTAAAATTGAGCTTTTGGAGACATTCCCTGTTCAAAATAACACAAATATGTCTAAAATAAGCAAACAGTAAAATAACAAAGGAAAAAAAGACCAAAATAATGAACAGATCATCAGTGAGCTGTGAGACATCTGGAAGTAGATTAATATGACTGACATTTGTAAATGCAGTTTGAAAGAGTAGGAGAATAGAACAAATTTTTGAAGAAACTGAGATTTAGAAAGAATAAATAAACACCTAGTAAATCTTATCAAAAAAAAGGAAAAAACTGAAATACATGTAAAAGGAATGAAAGGGGTGAATTCAGTACAGATCCTGAAGAAATTCAGATCATTAATACCTACTTTGAAAATCTTTACTCTCATAAGATAGAAAATACAGTGGAAATGGACAGATTTCTAGATACATATAAATTACCAAAGCTGAATGAAGATGATATAAACTCTACAGAAAAGAGGAACAGATGGCCTCTACCTCAAGCTGATGAAAGCCATCTATGATAAACCAACAGCTAACATCATACTAAATGGTCAAAAATTGAAACCTTTCACTCTAAAATCAGGAACAAGACACGATGCTCACTGTCACCACTCCTATTCAATACAGTTCTGGAAACATTAGCTAGAGTAATTAGACAAGAGAGAGAAATAAAAGGAATAAGGATAGGAAAGGAAGAAGTGAAATTATCATTATTTGCACATAACATGATACTCTACATAGAAGACCCCAAAAACTCCACCAAAAGGCTCATGGATGTAATAACCAAATTCAGTAGCATACCTGCATATAAAGTTAACACTCAAAAATCAATGGTATTCCTGTACACAAGCAACAAACAGACTGAGAGTGAAACTAGGGATACTATACCTTTCACAATAGCATCTAAAAAGATGAAATACTTAGGAATCAATCTAACAAAAGAAGTAAAAGATCTAAACAGTGAAAATTATAGTGCTCTGAAAAAAGAGATCGAAGAGGATATCCAAAAATGAAAAGATATTCCTTGCTCATGGATAGGAAGAACGAACATTGTGAAAATAGCCATACTCCCAAAATTGTTGTACAGGCTCAATGCAATCCCAATTAAAATACCATTAGTATACCTGACAGATCTAGAGAAAACATTCCTAAACTTCATCTGGAACCAGAAGAGGCCTAGAATAGCAAAAGCAATCTTGAGAAACAAAGGAAAGGCAGGAGCAATCACAATTTCTGACTTAAAATTATATTACAAAGCTACTGTGATAAAATCAGCATGGTACTGGCACAAAAACAGACCTGAAGATCAATGGAACAGATTAAAAGATACAGATACAACTACAAACACATTCAGTCACCTTATCTTCGACAAAGGGGCTAAACATGTTCAGTGGAAGACAGATAGCCTCTTTAATAAATGGTGCTGGAAAAACTGGCTTTCCATATGCCGAAGACTAAAACTAGACCCATGTCTTTCACCATGCGGTAAATTAAAAGTCAAAATGGATCAAAGATCTAAATATTAAAACAGAAACACTACATTTACTGGAGGAGAAAGTAGATAAAAATCTTGATGATATTGGGGTAGGCAGAGAGTTCATGAAAAAAATAAAACTGCACAGGAAATACTTCAAAGAATCAACAACTGGGATCTCATTGTATTGAGAAGTTTTGCATCTAAAGAAGTCACCAATAAAGTAAAAAGAAAACCCATGATTTGGGAAATAGTTTAGTCAACTCCCCCTCAGACAAAGGGCTTCTATCTAGGACATATAGAGAATTAAAAAAATCAGGCACCCCCAATTCAAGGACCCAATCCAAAAATGGGCATCTGAGATGAATACACACTTCACAAATGAAGAGATACTAATGGCGAATAAATACATGAAAAAATGTTCAACATCATTAGTCATTCGAGGAATGCAAATTAAAACAACACTGAGATTCCATCTCACCACAGAAAGAATGGCTATCATCAAGAAATCAACCAATAACAAATGCTGGAGAGGCTGTGGGGAGAAAGGAACCCTACTCCACTGCTGGTGGGAGTATAGATTGGTGAAACCACTGTGGAGATCAATTTGGAGATTCCTCAGAAAACTAAGATTGGAAGTGCCATTTAACCCAGCTATTCCCCTTTTGGGTATTTTTCCAGAAGAATTAAAGACATCATACCACAGTGATATATATGCACCCATGTTTATAGCAGCACAATTTGTTATAGCTAAATCTTGGAAACAACACTGATGCCCATCCACTGAGGAATGGATAGAAAAGCTATGGTATTTTTATACAATGGAGTATTACTCAGCTATGAAAAAGATAAAACTTGAGGCTTTGTAGGTAAATGGATGCAACTAGAGATCATACTCCTAAGTGAAAGAAATATGACCCACATTGGTAAACATCATATTGTCTCCTTGTTGTAGGAACCTGAAAGGCTAGGTAAAACTCAAAACATACAATAGATGACAGGAAACGGAAAGAAACTGCTCAAAGGAAGGAATGATTGGGATGAGGGAAAGAAGAAAGAAGAAAGAAGACAAAATATAAATATATATATGAATAGCTGTGATAACTGTATTGCTGATGTCTGATGGTGTATTGAAATGAACAGTTAATGCTTGCAATTTTTTATGTTCTGATCAATTTTGCATGCTTATGTCTGGTAATCTGATTTGAAGGTAACATGACCCACTTTTTTTTTTGTTGTTGTTTTTCTCCGGTACCGGGAACCGAACTCACGACCTTGCGCTTGCCAGGCAGGTGCTTTTTGCCGCTGAGCTAAATCCCCAGCCCCTGAAGGTAACAATATGCAATGGAATTTCAGTGGTGAATTCCTACCATCTTGTCTAGTGAAACTCTGTAGTATCTATAATGTTTTATCTAATAATTATTTTCTTATTCTCTTTAGTGGTTTGAGCAATCTTCCATTCTTACATCTGGTAATCTGAGCAATGTAGTTGAGGATAGTGATATGTAATATAAAAACCTGTTAATTCATATTATTTTGTCTTCAGACCCTGTATCACTTTAAATGTTGTTACTTAGATTTATGTTCATGATACTGGTATGCTGTTACTGTTCTATTTTTTGTTTCTTTGTTTCTTATTTACCACTCTCTAAAATAAAAATTTAAAAAAATATATATACTAAAAAAGAAAAACAAAGAAATAGAAATTTTTCAAATTTGATGAAAACACTACTGCTCGAAAGAACAATATAAAGACTACCCAATATGTCATTATTAAATTAATTGAAAACAGTGATAAAGCAAAAAAGTAATCCTAAGAGCAGATTGATGAAAAGATTAACACAAGAATGAAAAAGGAGAGTGCCTTAGTTACTTTTCTGTCATTGCTGAGTCAAAATACCCAAGACCCAAAATTAAGGAAGGAAAGGTTTATTTAGCTCACAGTTTGTGGAGGTTTCAGTCCGTGATCAGCTTTCTCCAAGGCAGGGTGGCATTGCACAAGGGCACACTTTAAGGTGACAGAAGACAGCAAAAGCAGCAAGAGCAAAAGTGGGAGAGCAAGCCTCTTTGCCCTTTTTATATTGTGTATGGACTATCCGCCCATGCCTACACCAAACCTGTGCCCTCCTCTTGCACAGGCTCAGGATGAATACAAAGTAAAGACACTGGCTCCCTGCTGAGTCACATAGTTAACCTTCTAAACTTCTCAAGTTGACACAATGAACAATATCCTAGAGTGGTAAGGGCATGTCCTTTTCACCCCAGGATGTAGCACTGCTGAGTCACTTAGTTAAGCTTCTAGACTCCTCAAGTTGATTGATGTTTGTAAATGGAGTTTGACAGAGTGGGAGAATAGAACAAATTTTTGAAGAAATAGAGACTTTCTTTTCAAATCTGATGAAAACACTATTGCTCCAAATAACAATATAAGGACTACCCAATCCATCAGTATTAAGTTAGCTGGAATTAGTGGTAAAGAAAAAATAATCCTAAAAGCAGACTGATGAGAAAACAATTACACACAAGAATGAGAAAGGACAGCAATTTGTTGTTAGCAACAGTGCATCCCAGATGAAGGAACAACATCTTTTTGTACCAGGACTCAAACTCAGGACCTTGTGCTTGCCAGGCAGATGCCATGCCACTGAGCTATCTCCCCATCCCAGGAAC